CACGGAAAAAAAAAAAAAAAAAAAAAAAAAAAAAAAAAAAAAACTCTACAGTCTTGTTTTTAAGCACTTTTCTGTATGTGTATTACATTTCATAACAATAAACAAAAAAAAAACCTCTGAGGTTCTGTACATAGATTTCCCCGTCTAGAAAGCCTTCCTTCGGGCCGGCCCGGTGGCGCACTGCGCTAGTGCGCCGCTTGGGAAGCGCAGCGGCGCTCCCGTCGAGGGTTCGGATCCCACATACAGACCGGTTCCCACTCACTGGCTGAGCGAGGCGCGGGGGCAACACCGAGGGTTGCGATCCCGTTGCCGGTCCTGGTCCGGTACGGGGGCGACACTGAGGGTTGCGAACCGTTGCCGGACACGGAAAAAGACAAAAAAAAAAAAAAAAAGAAAGCCTTCCTTCGTCACACATCTACACAGCACACTCCTAAACTTCCTTCAGGCCTCTTCACTTTAGGAAACCTGCCCTGATTCTCTAGGCCCACTTCAAGGCAGTTCTATTTATGGTCCCACTACAGCCTGTAACTGCAGCAAGTGTCTCACTGTGGTACCATCATCTATTTAGGTCTCTGTACATCCACTAGATTAAATACAGACAGTGTCCTTTCGTCTTAGCATCTATGGGTATCCAGCACTTAGCAGCTCCTAAATATTCCCTGGTGAACAAAGCCATTTGTAAAATGTTACAGATCCTTTCTGCTCGCTAATTTTTGTCTTCTTAACCTTCTCTAGAATTTCCGTAGGTAATATTCCATTCTAACAACCTACCATCAAAGAAAATAATAACTAGGTCATTTCAGCATGTGGGTTTTGAGGTCCTCTTAATTTTTTCCCTGCAGATATTCCCTGACTTTACTAAGAACATTCAGCAGAATTAAAACTTCTGTTTTTTGAATTAAATGTTGAGCCAGCTACTTCCCCCAGACACAGAACTGCATTAGGAAATCATGATTAATTCGGATAAGGCGTTAAGAACAGTGACAGGAGAAATGAGTTCTACTATCTGGTGAATTTCCTAGCCCTCCAGCTTTTTCCTCCCTCACATTTGCAGGGCTCCTTAGACCTGCACCAAACAAGCAGATTCCAATTAGCACGCAAAGGATCCAGAAAAAAGAAAGAAGGAAATTGTACATGTTCTACCCCCTTGGGCTTTAAGACAGGTTTTATACCTTAGCACGGAATTGTGCCCTGACTTTTCCACTCGTAAGCAGCCTCAATCAGCCTGAGTTTCATATTACCTTCAGAAGGTAATGAAATGAGGAAGTATCCGCAGAGGCAAATTGTCTGATTGTTTTTCAGGACCACATTTCTGTTCTTACCTTTTCATGAGCCCGACACTACAGTTCACAAAGGGCTTCATAAACTGAAGCCAGGAAAAGAGCTTTTGCAACCCATGCCCTGTCTTCCACGTCCCACTAGTCTCCAACCTACAAATGCGGGTGGCCATTCTGACAGGTGAGCCAGGCTGTGGTATAAACTGGTTTCTCTCCCCACCCTTGCTCTCCTCTCACACAGACACAGACTCTAATACAGAGCTGGAAGAAAAGAACGAGCCATGCCTACCGGTAGCCCAGTCCTTGGATCAGCTTACTTCCCAAGCGTTCCTGGATCATCTGGATAGTTCCTTGTAAGAGGCTTTTGGCTGCCGAATCTCCAACAGCTATAGCAACAATCCGTCCTGGATCCTGGACTCTCAGAAATTCCTCCAGTCGCCTACTCTCATTGTGGTATTCATGGGTATCAAACTTTGCAATTTCCAAAATTTTGGCCGTATCTTGGTCGATGACCCTGACATTGAGGCCCCGGAGAAAGTCCTTTTCAAAGGTGTAGGACCCAAAGGGCAAGCCTGAGGAATGCAGAGTCCTCACCAGCAATGTCCACGATGTCTTCCGTTCCCCGTGTAACTCCAGTGTCCCACCAGCTTCCACACCTATAAACTTTTTGCCAAATGTTGGCATACTTTCGCCTTCGTCTGACCTGCCATACAAGGCAATTGTCGCTTTGGATTTATAGCGGCATTTTTCTGCTCCAATATGAAGCGTTCCACCATCCCGGATCAGGATGTAACGAGTCCTCAAGGTAATGTTTCTGGATCCACCTTTATCATCCCCGAATACAAGCAGTCCTGCAAGGAACGGTACCATAAGCCAACTTCTAAAACATCTTTCTGAGATACAGAAAAATATTTTTCACCTTAAGGGGGAAAAAAATACACCTGCACGATTAGGTTGGGAAAAAGAAGACTAAAAGTCTGTTTAGCAAATTAAACTGGTTTCAAAACATAGTAAAGAAAAAAATGAAGAGTTCCTATCTCAACATACTGAAAATGCCCATGAGAATGAATTTTCATTCATTCACTTTAGAGGTAAACGTTTCTAGAAAAATATCTAAGAGCCTATGTATCTGAACCTCATTTTTATATATGTTAACCGATGTTAACTCTCTCATCACTCTTGACGAGTTCTCACAAAGACATAGCTATGAGAGATTACCTCTCTGGAACTGTTTCCTTGTCTATAAACCTAGGGTCTTGACCTGAGTGATTTCTAAGGTCCTCACAGCTCTTGAATTCTATGGTTCTACCTTAGGGACTTTTTACATCTCCACGGTTAGAGAGAAAAAGGCTATTCAAAGAATCATTTTCTACATAATGAATATTAAATATCTCCCACATTAAAGAGCAACCTCGCAGTCCCCATAGGCAGGGACCATTACCTACCTCCATCCTGAATGACTATAGAATTCACTGTAACATCTGAGGTCAGACGGAACATATCTCCCTCCTTGATAACAACATGTTTTGCAGGGTCTTGTCCTGGATCCCAGTTCCTGAGACGGGGATTTTGATCTGGGCAATTCTCTACAAAACAACACAACATTGATATCCCATCAGACCCAACAAAATGCAAGAATGTCATTAGCCAAATCCATGCACTACCATCATTTAATGCAGTCTGCAAGTAACATGATGACATACTTTGATTTCTTGCCATTAGGATAGAAATCCTATCCTACCCAGCAGAGAAACATCAAGTCCTTTACTTCCTCAACACATTAAAATATAGTGTCACCACAAAAGTAAGTTGTTAGCATCTAGAGTTCAAGTCAAACTTGACAAGGTAAAAATGGAGTTCCCCTGAATCATCTGCTCTGGGAATAAACCACCAGTAAGATGCAAATTATGAACTGTCCATTAGAAAGCTGTTTTACAGAAGACATTTACAACATGCTGATAAATAAAATACAGAAATTGCTGAGTAATGTGTATATTAGGTCCTTACAAATTCCTTCCTATGCACGAGTCATAAAGTAGGTGATAATAGTAACTCTTTCTTAGGCAGAAGCTGAGAAATATCACCATGTCCAACCACATACATTTTCCCAGCAAAACTGCAAGTAGCCAAAGACATGACTTCTCATTTGCAGAGATGAGGAAATTTCAGGTTCTCGAGAAGCCAAACCCAAGATTACTTAGCAAACTGAGTGATACGGAAGTTCCCCCTTTAAGAAATGAGGTTCTTAATTCCTTGAACTTGTTAAGACAAGTGAACAGATATTGACATTGATGACACAGCGAGAAGGAGGGAAGAAAAGGAGAAATTGGTAAGGGGACACAAAAAACAACAATACTTTATATTGATAAATTAAAAATAAAATAAAAAAGAGATATGACAATCTCTAGACCAATGTAGAAATGGTTTTCCAATGAAAATAGCATAAGCTGTTTATGTTGGTTACCTCAGGAAGCAATAATGAGGAAGGAGAAAAATGGGTGGGGGGAATTATATTTTTTCTTTATCTTTGTGATTTTCATTTGTTGCAAAAGAAAAAATGCTACTTGTGTGACTGGAAATAATTTAATAAAGGAATAAAAAGGAAAACATAAACAAAAAAAGACATGAGGTTCTTTACTTACATTGCTCCTTTACTAAGAATTAGAATTTTTCTCTTGAATAGGTGATAATAAAAATATGGAAGTATTCTGCATTGCCACAAGTTGTTAATGAGTAAAACCTTTCATCTCTGCCATAATTTGGAAGAGGAGGGTGAAAAATAAAATCATATGTTCAATTTTGATAAACAAGTATTTGTTGAGGATCAATTTGTCCACTCTGCACTAGATACTGTAACATTTATAAAGCATAGAATGATCTAACATATCCTCAAAGTTTATAATCTAGCTTGGGAGAAAAAGCCACCATGTATGAAATAATTAAAACACTGAACAATGTGGTAGTCATTTGAGGTGCAAACAACCTCCAACTGAGGCAGCTTCATGAGCAGATGATACTAGACCCAGACCCCGAAGGAAAGACAGTATCAAACAAGAAGAGCAGGGCAGGGGTGAGGGAAGGTGAGAATACCACTAATGCAAGCATCCCATGCTATCCAAGTCCATTTGGTTGCTCAGTGAGAATAGCAAGGTGTCGCCTGTATTTAAACTAAGCAAAGACAGAAATGAGCAAGATATGCTTGAGAACCAGATGAAGAAATATATTTTGTTAAGGTGGAGGGTACATAGTGGGTGATACTATGAGAAAAAGCAAAGAGATTGGGTGCAACGTTAAGATATTATTTTATATAGAAAAAAAATTCTGACTCCTTATTTTGAATTTTCCGTACACTAATGCAAACATCTTCCTGCTTCTAAGCACTTATATGCCCCTAGGCTTATGCTTTCTCTTTGAGGTGATAGTAACTACAGTTAAAATTAGTCTCACTCATTAAGTCCTTGGCAATTATTGCAGAGAATTCTTCTTGGAGTAGTTTCATAATTGTTGATATTTAATTCTTCTGAGAAATCAATGCTCACCACTATTACACTAAAAACAATCCTTAAACTTTTCTTCCCAACAAGGAAACAAGAAATCTCTCATATTTGTTCTGACTTAATACTGAGGATTTCTTAAACTTTTCCTCTACCTCCCTCTCTTCCCATAAAACATCTAGCTGGAATTCTCCATGGTGTTATTTGAGAAGCAAATGTATGTCGCACGTAACAAGCACTATATCCAGCTACAGAGAAGGAAATCCAGTCCTTTGAGATCTGGAGCCTACTATAATAGTTATATAATTCCTCTTAATTGTTTATAATTATTCCCCAGGAGAGCATGCTTCATTAAAACCATTACCAAAAATTCCAGGCTGTTTCCTTCCAGTAAAACACACTTAATGAGAAAATGTGTGATCTACAGAAGGCATTGAAAAGTAGCTCGGCCAGCCCCACCTTCCCAGCTACCCACTTGTAGAGCAGTAAGTGCACTGTCCAAGTTATGTAACAGCAGTAACCACAGTGAGGCTGACCCTGAAATAGTCCAGCATACCAGATCTTTCCACTGATAATCTGCACTTATATTGCCAAAATATGAAACTAAAGAATGTTGATTCAAGGAATCACAGGAGCAATTCCACGTTTTAGAATGAATATGAAAACACCAACAAAAGCCACAGATCTCCACTCTGACTTCCCACTAGTCTAGCATCCCTTTACAGCAGATTACTTGGGAAGTATGACTCAGCAGTGAACTTGGTTACTCTGCTGGGGAAAGAAGAGAGGAAGTTAACACTATGTGCAATGGAAATCAATGTTAGGAATTCATAATGGCCTACCGGCTTGGGCAACAAAGACACTGAGGTGAATGGCTCTCTCACTTCAGGTCCATTCTCTTAGAAGCACTAACACTACCTCCCCAAGGACCTTAAAATCCCTAAGGCACCCATGAAAACTAAACAAAATCATTATTTGTAAGTCTCATAAATAGTTAAATGCTTCTCAACTGTTATATTCATTTAAGGAGGCATCTAATGAACAAAAGTCTGTTATACACTTTGAAAAAATGCAGACAAACATGGTGCCTAATCCAGGTTGTTATGGTCTGCTTCTCTCTGCCACTGCCCGGAGTCCTTTTTAGGCAGATAGATGGGATTCTTTTATGAGGCAATTCTTTGTTGGTATATATTGAGGTCGCCTGTCAACAAACATCTTCAAAACCATTCAAAGTATTGATAGATTACCAACTTGAAAAGAGAAGACCATTTAAGAAATTAAAATTTCCCTACGTGCTATTTAACTATGAAGTAATGAATGATTTTTAGACAAATGTGTCAGAACTTACACATCTTAATTACACACTGTAAGTCAAAAATATTTGAAACTTCTTTTTTGTAACTGTCTCCCTAGATGGTTTCAAACCACAAAACACAAATCTTATTATTTTCAGTCACATATATTTTTTTGTTTTGTTTTTTGTTGGTTTGGTCATTTGGTTTTTTGGCAGCTGGTGGGGAAGGGAATCAAACCTTTGACCTTGCTGTTAAAATGAGTCAGTTATATTTTTAAAAAATCAATTCTAGTTTATCATTACATCTAAGACCAAAAAAAGACTTTTGGCGTCTAAAACTCCTACCTACCACAAAGGATGAAATTGTGCTATCACAAGAATTCAGTAAAGACTCAAAAGCATTTCCTAAAGACAGGTTCTAAGAACTCCTTGAACACTGGGACAAAATGATAAAGTGAAAAGAACACTTCTTTAACTTTATAATTTCCAGCGGATTCCTTGAACAACTGCTCTCATTCGTAAGAAGTTACACTTCGGATTACCTAATTGTGTGTTAGTTAGCTACAGACAACTTAAGATAATAAAACTTTTTTTTAATTATCTGTTTCCTCCCCTTCCTTCTTCTCCTAGAACATGTTCTATGTGCACATACACACACTTACCATCTGGAGCATATTTTGAGGATATCCCTAAAATGACTGCAAGTGCAACAAAAAATGAGAAACTAGTAATTGCAAAGCAAATGAAAGTATTTTTGTGTCTCTTCTGCTTTCGGCTCTCTCTCTGTGCTTGCTGTTCTTCAGATGAGAGTGCAAAGGTGGCCCGGGCTTCTTGTCTAATGGAGGTTAATTTGGCTGAAGCTTGGCTCTTTGGAGGAGGAGGGGGACGCAGTGGGACAACCTTCCCTGGAATATAACCAGATGAGCGATGGCTGTTTCCATTCTGAGGCTGTAGGAAAGCAGGGGAATGTCCCCTGGAATCAGTGGTATACATGATACACTGTCGCTGTGAAAAGAAAAAAATTAAGTTTCAAAATGTATGAATTGCAATGGCTTTTCTTTAATATACATTTTTTTATTCTGGTGAAATACATATAGCATAAAAGTTACTACTTTAACCACTTTTAAGGGTACAGCTCAGTATGTGAATTAAATGTATTCACAGTGGGGTGGAGGGGAGAAAAAATTATATATATATATATATATTCACAGAGTCGTGCAACCATCACCACTATTCATTTCCAGAACTGTTTCATCATTCAAAATGGAAACTCTATATTCATTAAATAATTCCCCATTTCCCCAGCCCCTGGTAACCACTGTAATGACTTTTTGAAAATATCAGGTCAGTTTACAACCCTGATATAAGAAACTATGTCAACAATAACCTTCACTAATTGTCTTCTCATGCCACTGTGTCTCAACTCTGGCTGCACATTATAGTCACTTGCGAACACTAATGCCTGGTGCCACACTCCAAAACAGTTAAACCAAAATCAGGGAGCCAGGGATACAAGCATCTGTATCTTTTAAATGCTCCCCAAGTGATTCTAAGGAACATCCAGGTTGAGAGCCACTGTCCTACTCCAAATGTTCTCAATTTGCAGTGTGCAAATGAATCACCAGAGGAGCTAGCTACACTGTAGATTCCTGTGCTCTTTACTACAGTGATTCTGTCTCAGTTGGTGCAAAGAGGGCCCTGGATTTTATATTTTTAAAAAACACACCTTGGTGACACTTAAGCAGGTGGCCACATTTTGAGTATCATTATTCTAAGCTCTTCATATTTAAAAGTCAATGTGTCATATGAGGACCACAAGGTGGCCCTAAAAAGTTCGAGTAGATAGGCTTTCATGTTTGGGGACTCTAAATGATTCTGAATCCATTTAGCAAGAAAGTCTAAAGTCTATCTTATCTCTTTAAATCCTCAAATTTTGTTTAAAAATAGTAAACAATTCAAATGGTTAAGGTGATTTAAAAAAATAGCTAACACAAACCCTACGCCAGGCACTGTTCTAAATACCTTATGTGTATTAACTCATTTAACATACTTAATAAAACAAATCTATAAGTAGATACAATTATTCCCATCTTACACGTGAGAAAAACTGAGGCGTAGAAAGATTAATTTCCCCAAAGGTCACACAGCTGGTAGAGAGGCGATCCAAAGCTTAAACCCAGGTATTTTGACTCCAAAGTTCAGGCTCCTAACTTACACTGTGTCTTTCCAAACAACTGAGAGGCAAAAACTTCAAAGAATGAGTTTCACAAGGGTGTAATTAGAACTGTGCTAAGTCTGAAAGTGCATATTAATCTTCTCAGGAATTCTTCATGCAGAAGTTCACTAGACCATACACGATTCCTTTTTATTTAAGAGAAGCTGACACACACAAAAAGGGAAGTTCTTTCTTATTTTTTACATTCTTTATAGCAAGCACTTACAAGTTTTTGAATGAAAAATTAAGTTTTGAATGAAACCTTACTCTGTTAGTTTGCCAAGTCAAAGGAAAGGAGGGTGGCAGGGAGGGAGGGAAGCTAGCTCCAGCACATAACGTTTGTATTGCAATGACTGGATAGAATAAGATGTGCTCAGTGGCTTCAGAAACATGATGTTCAACCTCTTCCACTACATCCCTTCCTTACCAACTAGAGCATCTCAGAGTCACCTGACTTCATTCAATACCTTTACAATTAATCCCCCTCATCTTCTGCCAAACAATGAACAAGATTCTAGTCACAAGGGTACCTCCAAATTGCTCTAAACTATCAGCAAGCCCATTAAATACAAAATGGTCATTAGAGAAGCCACAAATAAGCATTCCCAGGACCCAAATGACCTGGACAGAAAGGGAATCCAATCAGGAATTGATGCTGATTTTACATGGGGCAAAGAACACTCTCAGAGTCAGTGTGTCTGTCAAAAACACTTACTTGGTGGGGTTTGATTTCTGAACAAAAGTAATTATTTAGATGAAGCTCAAGCTTCAGGACAAAGGGAAAACAACACTTTTCAAGGTGCTGTTGAAGAAATTGCTGCATGTGTCAAGCAGCAGACCAAAACAACGGATACATCCTGCTGGGACAAATGACAGAGTACAGTCTAACAAAGGCCCCTCTATGAACAAAGAAAGGACTAAACTAGATATTCTTGAGTGCCAGGCTCACAAGGATGGGAGCGGGATCGCCACTCTAATCTGCTCTGAAAGGGAATGAGAATCTTTTGTTTCTGGGGCTGCGATCATCTGATATTTCATTGTTTCGGGGTGAGAAAGGTTGTTATTACTTAACAGGCTGGAGGGCCCTTTTGTGGGAGATAATGGATCTCCAGATGTATCCACAATAAAATAAAAGGCAGTGAGAGGCTAAAGGAAGTCACCAGCCCACTGGGAATAATTTGTGTCTCCACGTTCACAAAATGGTATCCTAACGTGAAAATTCAGATTGTGACTGCCACAAACTTAAGTGGTCAATAAATCAAAAATAATCATGGTTACGTTTTTTTTCTACAATCCTTCTGCAAAACTATATATATATTATGAGTACACTAGCTCTATTTTACTGAAACACACGTAAAGGCATAAACAGCAAATACATTCATTCTTTTCCTAAGAGGTAACATATTTTTGCAACCATATCTTAGAATAAAACAACAAAACAAAAATCATATCTTAGGCAGATTGTCCCCTCAATTTATTAAGATTTTTTAAAATATAAGATACAAATACATCACTTTTATTTTACATTTATGGGTGTGCTTTAGGTGTAGTATTATAAATTAATTATTTAAAAATATATTGATTGGTGGTTATAGATCTAAATTATTCACAGAAAAAAAATGACATTTCACTCACTCAGTAAGCAATTGTGAGCTCTTGGTGTCAGAGAATTGTGGTAGGAACTATGGAGGACAGACAAAAGATTTACAGCATCCTCAAGAAATGCAATTCCTGAATTCAATTTTAAATCACTTGTTTGGAAAGCAGAGTAAAATTGGCCAAGGAGACAAGGCTAAAATGGTGGTCAGGTTCTCAAGCTATCTCAACAACGGCTGTTTCATCCATTGTAGCATTTGTTTGAGTTTGGGGTCCTGAGGACAAAGAAGGGACTTACCAAAGGAAATACAATGAAGAGTTTCCTACTGCTTTCAAGCTTCAAGGCAAGCATTAGGCACCATTTTAATAATTTTACTACAGAGCAATATTTCAATTTAATACACCGTTCCGTTTGTCTATATTACATGTCATTTTTTTTTTTTTTTTTTTTTTAAAGATGACCGGTAAGGGGATCTCAACCCTTGGCCTGTTGTTGTCAGCACCACGCTCAGCCAGTGAGCAAACCGGCCATCCCTATATAGGATCCGAACCCGCGGCCTTGGTGTTATCAGCACCACACTCTACCGAGTGAGCCACGGGCCAGCCCTCTACATGTCATTTTTTAAAGGGTTATATTTCTAGTGGGAAACACGTACTATGTAGAAAGAGCACATCAGTATTTTATGATACATTTTAAGGGCTATTATAGCCTATGATTGCCCCTAAAATAAGACCAATCATCCAAACGAGGGATAATTTAAGTCATTCATATGCAATTAGAAATGCACTCCACTAAGTTTTTAAAGCATCATTTTTGGTATTTAGATCTCCCTAAAGAATTATTTTGTGAGTATTTATTTACTGGATGACAAAAGTAGTTGTCCAAAAAGCTTGGTTATAAATCAAGCAAACAACTGAATATATGGACAGGCAATTTAGGCCAATATTTTAAGTAGATAATTAAAGAAATTACTAAGACTATGAATACATTATATCAACTTAAAAGACATAAATACAAATGTTGGAAAAAAGTAAGCATTCAAAAAAGTACTTAGTATTTTTATCTAATTCTTGGTTGCCCCCACAGAAAGCCTCTTTCAAAACTCATGTTATATTAAATAAAATTCTTCTCTTGGGAAAAAAAAAAAAGTATTGCCCCCAACAGTAGAACAGGTGGGAAAGACTTGTACAGTTGGTAAGAGCATTCAATTAATTTATTTGCTAATAAATTACAGCAAGTAATCACAGAAAACAATTATTTTGAAACTTCAATAACATTAAAAAAGGTCAGGATCTTTTTTTAATCTATAGAAAGGTGCATCATTTTAAGAAAACTATGATATTCTCGTTTAAAGTTTTCAAACACTGTGCTATCTCGTCTATGATGCCTTCTCAACATTCCCTACATTCCCACTCTGTTCTTCCCTGTACTGTTTAAAACTCTTCCAGGATCAGCTTGCTTTTTGCCTTGTTTCAGTTAATTTATATACTTGTCCATCTCCTGAAGTAGATTATAAGCCTCTGGAGACCAGGAGTAATATCTTACTCATCTTGATTATTGAACAGAGATCTCAAATTCCTGCAATTCAGCATAAATGCTACATACATATATATATATATATATATATATATATATATATATATATATATATA